TCCTTAGTTTATTTTGCTTGATAATGCCTGATTCCCTTTACTCCCTTCCTTTATCAATATCTAGCTCTCAACACTGACAATATTACTTCTCTTTTTTCTGTTTTTGTTTATTTTTCAATTACAATTTATATCACTGATAGTCTGTATTAGCTAAAAGATTAGAAAATGAAGGGCAATATCCTAGGCAAGACTAAAGCAAAATTCATACAGTAAATGATTGAAAAAACTGGAAAAAAAGTTTATAGTGATGCTACTCTCCATTTTATTTATTTATCTATATATATATTTATTCTCACCCAAGGACATGCTCATTGATTTTAGAGAGAGGGAAAAGGAGGGAGAGAAAGAGGGAAAGAAACATTGATGTGAAAGAGAAACACCTATCAGTTGCCTCTCGAACATGTCCCAACTGGGGACAGAACCTGCAACCTAGGCATGTGCCCTGACAGGGAATCAAACCTGTGACCTTTGGTTTACAGGACAACTGAGCCAAACCAGCCAGGGCTCAATTTTATTTTGATTACAATTTTAATGGGAACAATCTTTACTCAGTTTACTATTAACATGAGAACAGATGTGTGGAATCACCAGGTGAGAATGGTGTTCAAAGATATACTCTTGTCCACAGGGTTCTAAAACTGTGCTCTGAACAGGATATACAAGCTATTCTGGCCCTAATGCACAGAATTCAACACTTTGACTGCTGGCATCCTCAGTATTTATCCTCCTTGGCAATATAGTTATCTATTCTTATCCCAAGGGGTGGCCCTAATCACATAGGATCAATGTTTTTAATAAGATTTCAATTTGGAAGGGGCAGCTAGATTATATTTTCTCTTTTTATCCAAAGACCAGAAAAGGGAAAGCCTAGCAAAACATAAAATATTTCAATAGTAACTTCCCCTACTCCAACTAAACATTGCGGAGAAAAACTGGTCACATGCTTATCTTCATCATCAAAAGTCAAGTAGGAAGTCCAGAGCTCTACCCTAACCCACCTGTAATGAAGCATTCCTTGCCACCCCAATGGGGTTGTAGCAGAGAAGCAGCTGAGCCTTTCATCACACCCAAGAGTAGAGAGCTCTTCTCAGTTATGTCAGTAGAGGCTATGTGGGCAGCAGTTGCAAGGCCTCCTTAGAACTCCAAGAAAGGATGGTGTAAGCAGCAGGGTGGTGTAAGCAGCAGGCTGGTGGGAGTGAGAACTTCCGACTTCACCCAAGAGTGACAAGGTATCCCTCCTTACCAGAGAGTCAGTGGACCCAAGTGGGAAACCTGGATTTTCACCCTCACTTCCAGCAACAAGATGGCATGGTGTCAGAGAAGTCTTCCAAAACAGAAGATTATTAAAATTCAGGGATTTGAAATATAATACCTTAAGTATCCAGGATACAATAAAAAAATCATTATGCTGCTAAGAGCCAGGAAAATCTTAGTTTAGAAACAAATTAGAATTATTTGACAAGTATTTTAAAGCTGCCATAATCAAACAATGTTTCAATGAGCAATTGCAAACAATGTTTTGTAACAAAGGAAAACATAGATTGTCTCAGTAAAGAAATAGAAAACCTTGACAAAGAAGCAAGTGATATAATGAAGACCAAAATGAATATTTTTGACCTGAAAAGTCCAATAACTTAAATGAAAACTCTCCTGGATTTGCTTAATAGCAAAATGAGACAAAAGGGGAGAAATCAATGAACTTGAAGACAGAACAATATAACTTACCCAATCTGAACAAGAGACAGAAAATAGACTACAAAAAAAAAAAAGAAGAAGAAGAAGAAGAAGAGTCTCAGGAACCTGTGGTACTATAACAAGGTATATTTAATATTTCTGTTATTGAATTCTACAGGGAGTGAGAGAACATGGAACTGAAAAATCATTCAGAGAAAAATGAATAAAAATTTTTCAAATTTTCCAAAAAACAAAAACATACACATTCAAAATCTGAGGAAACTCCAAACAAGATAAACTAAAAGGAATCCAGGCCAAGACACATCAAAATAAAACTTTGGAAAACTAAAGGCAAAAAAAATCTTGAAAGCAGCAAGGATTGAAAAATAATGATATTCATCAGTAAATGGAAAACAGTGGAAACATCAGCTAATTTCTCATCAAGAATTATGGGTGCCAGTAGCACAACATGATTCAGGTTTTGAAAGAAAAGTGTTGTCAACCCAGAATTCTATATCTGGAAAAAATATTCTTAAGGAATTAAGTGAAAATCAAGACATCTTCCTATGTAAAATTTACTCTTTCCATAACTTTCACAAATATTAAATAAAACATGGTATTTTAAGTGAATTATGTCCCCATTACATTTATATGTTGAAACTCTAACCCCTGCAATTATATATGGAGAGAAGGTATTCTAGGAGTAAAGGTAAATGAGATCAGAAGGGTGGGGCCCTAATCACATAGGATTGATATTCTTAAGAAAAAGAGACACCAGAGATCTTGACATCACCTAGATCTTGGACATCTAGACTCCATTGCTGTGAGAAAAAAAAATGTCTGTTGTTTAAGCTGTCTGGTCTGTTTTGTTTTGTTATAGCAGCCCTAGAAAACTAATAGACATGAACACATAGATAAGAGAAAATGTAAAAAGTGCAGAGAAGATTAACAGAATTTTATCACACAGGCTACAGGCAAATTTGGGAGGTATGTTTTCCTTATCTTTTTTTTTAAGATTTTATTTATTTATTTTTAGAGAGGGGAGGGAGGGAGAAAGAGAGAGAGAGAAACATCAATGTGCGGTTGCTGGGGGCCGTGGCCTGCAACCCAGGTGTGTGCCCTGACTGGGAATCGAACCTGTGAAACTTTGGTTCGCAGCCTGAGCTCAATCCACTGAGCTGCACCAGCCAGGGCTGTTTTCCTTATCTTTTTAAAAAAGTATTTATTTATTTTTAGAGAGAGGGGAAGGGAGGGAGAAAGAGAGGGAGAGAAACATCAATGTGTGGTTGCCTCTCATGCACCCCACACCGTGGAGCCGGCCACAACCCAGGCATGTGCTCCGACTAGGAATCAAACTAGCAACCCTTTGGTTCACAGGCCTGCACTCAATCCACTGAGCCACACAAGCCAGGGCTATTTTCCTTATCTTTTAAAACATATCAATAGGTATGAACCTAAGACTGTTAGGAGTATTCTTGAAGAATAAAGAACATCTTAGTTTTAGACCTGCCAGGGTTTAGGGATGTGGGGGTAACATGGAGGAGATCTTTGTGATGAATGAATCTTTATGTATCTTGATTGCAGAGATAGTTATAGGAATCTACACATGGGAGAAAATGTCACAGAACTGTATACACACAGTGTGCTAATATCAATTTCTTGGATTAAGTATTTGACTATCATTACATAAAAATGTAACCTTTGTAGGAACCTGGATGAAAGGTACACAGGACCTTTTAACATTGTTTCTACAACTTCACATGAACCTATTAATTATTTCAAAATAGCAACATAAATTTACCTTTTGAAGGTTCCTGAAAAAAATAAACATAAAATTACCATATGATCCAGAAATTTAACTTCTGGGTATTTATCTGAAGAAAACACTAATTCAAAAAGATATGTGCACCCCAATGTTAACTGCAACATTACTTACAACAGCCACAATATGGAAACAATGTAAGTGTCCATCCATGGATGAGAATATTATTTAACCATAAAAATGATGAAATGTTGCTATTCATGACAACATGGATGAACCTTGAGATCATTAGACCTAGAAAACTAAGTCAGGCAGAGGAAGTTAAATACCATATGATCTCACTCTTTTGTGAAATCCTCCCCCCCAAAAGCGCTTAGATACAGAAAACAGATTGGTTATTGACAGAGAAAAGCTGGATGTGGGAGGGTAGGGTGTAAAATGGATAAAGGAAGTGAAAAGATACAAAGTTCCAGTTGCACAATAAATAAGGCATGGAATCTAATGTACAGCATGGTGGCTATACTCAATAAGAAAGTATTGCATATTTGAAAGTTGCTGACAATGTAGATCTTAAAAGTTCTCATGACAAAAAAATTGTAACAATATGTGGTAATGAATGCCAACTAGACATTGTGGTGATTATTTCCCAGTAAACACAGTTATTGAATTATGATGTTGTACATCTGAAACTATGTAATGTTGTAGGTCAGTTATACTTCAATAAAATGTCTATTAATAGATAATTCTGTTTACTCTGACCTAAGGTCCTCAAATAGGCAAAAAAGACTAGTAGAGTGATTATTCATTTGGGGAGGTCTTTGATTACACAGTATCACATCTTCTTATGTAAAGAAACTTAAGAATTACACTCAACAATCTCACTTCTGGGAATATATCCTAAGAATCCCAAAACACTAATCAGAAAGAATATATGCTCCCCTATGTTCCTAGCAACATTGTTTATAAAGCCAAGATCTGGGAACATCCCAAGTGCCCATCAGTAGATGAGTGGATAAAAAAGCCCTGGTACATTTACACAATGGGATACTGTGTGACTGTATAAAAGCAGTAACTCTAACCTTTTGTAACACCATGGATAGACCTGGAGATTGTTATGCTAAGTGAACTAAGCCAGTTAGAGAAAAACAAATACCATATGATCTCACCTATAAACAGAATTTAATGAATAAAATAAACTGATGAATAAAATAGGCCCAGAGGCATGGATACATGGAACGGACTGACAACTGTCAGAGGGGAGGGTGGCGGGATGGGGGGACTGGAAGAAATAGGCAAGGAACACATATGCATAGCACAGACAGCAATGTGGTGAAGGCTGGTGGGGAGTGCAGTGGCTGGGTGGAGGGGAACAGGGGATAAATGGGGCACATCTGTAATAATGTCAAAAATTTAAAAAACAGCTACAGAAAAGAAAACACACACATGAAAAAACACCTTCAAGGAGGCTTCTAGTACAAGTACTCATGAAACTGCAAATCCTTAAGAGGAAGTGGTGTCTCTGAGAAGTTAATTATTGGGCAGATTTGGGGAGGAAAGCATCCAAACTAGTGGTTTCCTAAGTCACCTCCTCCAGGGCACAACATATACTTAAAACAGGGAGTGTTTTTAATACACACAGACCAAGATCAGACATCCTCCGTGGCTGTGTCTGCACCATGAGAAACAGATGTCTAAGGCTGCTGCCAGGTAGGTAGAATTATAACAGTGACAATAGACAGTTAAAGCTATCTGGGAACTCTCTACCCAGCTTGAAAATATTCCCTGTTCTTCTTCATATCTAGCTTGTTTTCCCACTGCTTTTATAAGAAACAAAAGAAAGAAATTTTAAGAAGAGTATTAGCTCATTTGTATTAACTCTCAAAGGGAAAGTTAGTGAAACTCATTCCTAGGGCATACTTGAGGACTTAACAAACATTCTCATTTTACCACTTGCATTAGTCCAGTTTCTCCAGAGGCAGAATCAATAGGAGAAAGCACATGCAGGAGAGAGGGAGGGAGGGAGATGGAGGAGAGAGAGAGAGAGAGAGAGAGAGAGAGAGAGAGAGAGAGAGAGAGAGAGAGAGAGAGAGAAGGAGAGAACACTTTATTATAAAGAATGAGCTCATGAGATAGTGCAGGCTGAAAAATTCAAGATCCACAGGGCAGGCTAATAAGCTGAAAAACCAGGGAATAATTGACTTTGCATCTCAAATCCAAGTCCAAAGGCGATTTGGAAGCAGAATTCTCTCTTCCATAAGAGGAAGAAGTCAGTCTTTTTTCTCTTCAGGTCTTTAACTGATTGGATGAGGCCCACCCAGATTATGGAGGGTCATCTACTTTACTCAAAGTCTACCGATATAAATCTTAATCTCATCTAAAAAAAAACCAAACATATTCACACAAACATCTCAACTCGTGTTTCACCAGATGTGTGGGTACTGTGGCTTAGCCAGATTGATCCATAAGATTAACTAACACACTGCCTATATTATTTGTCTCAGAAGAGTAGATGATCGAATTATCTGAAAACCCCATTATGCTAAGAAATGCATTATCTTTGTGTTCATATCATGGCAGGATGTAAAAGACAGTGAATTAGTAAAAATCAATATTAATGAGGTTAGCTGAAGTCTGATTAGTCTTTATTTCTCTCAATGCTTAGGATAATAACTGTCATCTAGTAAGTTAGGTATTCCTTATAGATTGTCCCCATTGGTTATAATTTGCTTTCTTGTTTTTATGAAAAATAGCCATATTTATCATTATCTGATTTGTGGAGAATGATTTTTCTAATAATGGACGTATTTTGGGAAGTTCTTATAAAGGCACACAGATCTGAATTTTCATTGGGTTCATGCTTACACGGATGAAATGACAGACTGATAGGTGACCCAGTTATTGCCTGTAGGGTAGAGCTTATTCCTCTGCACCCTTAGTGGTTTTCATACCACGTAGCCTGTCCAGTGACATTTCTCAGGACTGAACGGGTTGAGAAAGGGCAAACGCTGAGCCTTCAGTGTACAACAGGGGGACCAGGAGCTCATTTGGAAGCCACATAGAAGGAGGCATAGAAGCCACAGTCCTGTACCTGGAGAGGCCACTGACCCAGGAGATAGTGGTTGTACCTGCAGGTGCCTTAGTTCTCACTCCTCACCTCCCATCACCTTCCTTTTCTTAATTCCAAAGCTCCAATCCCTGCTGATACTGTGAGCTAGGGTTTGCACTTTGGGAGTCTAACTCCAATACCCACGTTCTTTTTGTATACCCAGAAAATGTACATTAAGCAAGGGAAATGATCCTGGAAAAGAAATTCTCAGATTTGTGCCATTGACAGAAAACAAGAACCTGGGTCTGGGCAAAGGGACACCAGTCTGAGGACTTTCTCCTTTAGGATGTACCCTCCCCATTGGGAGAGGTTGGGATTTCTAAGGTGTGTCCCTGTCAGCAGCTGTGTGTAGGTTCTGTCCCCTTACCTGTGATACCTGAGGTTCCATGAGGATTGTGTCTTTTGGTGACTGATTCCTCTGGGTGGGGTGTCAGGGGTTTTGAGAGATGGAGGAGAAAGACAGAGTCCTTGACTCTGAGTAAAGTACAAGAAGAACCTGCTGAAGGCTGTGGACTGCAGGGCAAGAGCCACCTTCACAAAAAGCAATGGCCATGCAGCCAAGAGTTGAAATTGGAGATTGATTCTCCTTTCTTTGTCATCTCTCCATCTTTTTCTGTCCCAGAACTGTCAGTGCTGCTGATGTTGCCTCAGGTTGCTGCAGCCCTGAAAGATACAGGTGAGTCTGACCAGACAGATCCCCATTAGTGACATTAAGCTGAGCTCTGGGTCCTCTCACCAGGTGGGAGGGAAGAAGGCTAATTCTGTGAGTGAGGCTCAGAGATGGTCTTCTAGAGATAAGGGAAGCTAAATGCCCACAGGTTTGTTTTTTTTTTTCCTCTCCTTTTCCAATAACAGCCATTTCTCCTTTCTCTCCCCTCCTCCAGTCTTGGGCCCATAGTCGTCCATGGTTTTATACATTCCCTGAGCCTTCTGACCATGGTTTCCATCCTCACTGTTCTGTTCCCACAGCCTGCATTCGATGGTGCCCTCCGAACCCTCCATGTGTCAATGCCCATGCCTGTCACTGTGCTCCGGGATTCAGCTCTGCATCTCCTGACGTCTTCACCGGCCACTTGGAGAGTTGTTATAGTATGAAGGCTTGGGGATGATGGAGGGACATAAAGAGGTTGTTGAGAAAGACTGTGGGGCCTCCTGAGCCACCGTTCCTGAGAGCAGCTCCGAAGCCCTTTGTCAAGGATTAAAGATAGGAGGCAGGGCAGGATAGCATGAGGGAAGTGGGCAATTAGGATTCTGTGATTAGTAGAAGCATATCGAGAGCTTACACAGTGGAGCTGGGCTATGTGGGTCCAAAGTCTAGCTTTACCACTGACTGGCTCTCTGACCTTCAGGAAATTATGTCTCCTCTCTTTCCCTCAGTTTCCTTGTCGGTATATTGGGAATAATCACTGTACATACCCCACAGGGATGGTGTGAGGTTTCATAATTACCTGTATGAAAAAAACTTTGAAAGATGAGAACAGAGAAATTGTCAACAAATGTGAGCTGTTTTCATTGTTATTGCTGTTATTGTAATTATTATTTTCACAGCACAAAGAAAAGAAAAAATAAGGGGAGCAACAGGAGGGAAAGAAACGCCGAGGGCCTGGAACCTCAGGCTCCCCTACCAGCTCATGCTCACCAGGAATCCTGCCCATTCACGGTCATGGTTGCCCACTCAGACTCACAACAGAGCCAGGATGGCAGAGCTGGGGTTTTTCCTTTTCCCCACTTTCACTCATTTTGCCCCACTTCTGGAAACCGCCAATCTGTTTTCCATATCTATATGTTTGTGTGTGTGTGTGTTTTAATTTCACATTTAAGTGAGATAATATTGTATTTGTATTTTTCTTTCTGACTCATTTCACTTAGCCTAATGCCCTCAAGATCCATCCATATTGTCATAAAGGACAGAGCTTCCTTCTTTTTATGGCTGAATAATATTCATTATTATTCATTATTCATTCATCTATCAATGGACTCTCAGGTTGTTTTTGTATCTTGGTTGTTGTAAATAATGCTGCAATGAACATGTAGGTACAGAAATCTTTTCAAGATTGTCATTTATTTCTTATATACCCAAAAATAGAATTGATGAATCACATGGTAGTTCTATCTTTACATAAATTACATAATTTACTCCCTCCATCTACTCCTCAAGGCCTGGAAAGGTGGATGCAGCTCCATCATGACACAGCAGAGTGTCTGAGTCTAGGTGGCCTCAGAGCAGCCAGAGAGTAAAGATTAGCAGGGGAGTCAGCAGGCTCTGGATCAGCTGACTCTGCCCAGCCCAGCCCCAGGAGTGCCACCCTGGACCTGCATTCTGTCCAGTCCCCATCACAGGGTTGGACTGTAAGCCAACTTACAGTCCTTCTCTGCCCTGTGGGAACCTATGCCTTTGAGAGGTGACATTTTGTCTTCTTGTGTTCCAGACATCAAGGAATGTGGACCATACTCAAGAGTGTCTTGTGGAGTATATTTAGACTGTAAGGACTTCATGGAGAGTTACTGTATGTGCAACCCAGGCTACAGACCTGTTTCTGAGGCAATGTTCAACATTGATCCCCACAAACCATGTGATGGTAAGAAGAACCCTGTGTCTTCTTCTCCTCATTCATCAGATTTGGGATTCTCAATCCTTTCTCCAGGCCATCAGTGGGATAGCCTAGGCATGTACCAGGTCATCCACCCTCTCTGAACCCTAAGGCTCTGAACTTCCCGGCTAAATGCCACTTAGACAATTTTGAAACACCCTCTTTTTACCACCTGATATCTTATTTTCATAACACAAAGAAAGAGGTGGCATTCAAAATGCTTTAAGAGCTCACAGAGTGTTGCATTCCAGTGCAATATTCATCTTCATCTTCATCAGTGACTGCTAGGTTGAGACCTTCCCTCACTAGAGTTCACATGGATTCAGTCACCCCAGGAGCACTCTCAGACTCCGCAGGCCTTGAAGGGCCCTGTTCAGAAGTGTGGGAGTGGAAAGAATCAAGGGCGGGTCCATGTTGCCCAGCTGGCCTTGCCCTGGTCAACACCCACACCTGGTGACACCCCTCCTTGCACCCGACTCCACTTTTCAGCTCCTCAGCTGTATCTATTTCCCCAAACAAGTCTCCACTCTTATTTAATCCAATAATTTCAGTTCCTGGGCCTGTGGGCAACTCAGATGACTGGGATGGGCAGGGTGACATAGACTACCCCACGCATACTTGGAAAGCTGAATAAAGGAAGAGGCTTCTATCTTGATGGGATTGAAAAAGAGGACATAATTGGACACCATTGCTCCAGGCCCAACTCTCTCCTGTAGAGGTCAACGCAGGTCACCTGGGGGCCCAGACCACTGGGAGACAGATGATGGAGGCTGAGCTCCCCTCAGCAGGACCTACACGTTTTTGTCCCTGGTAGGAAACCAAAGAGCCAGATGATAGAAACAGCTGCCACCCCTCACCCATCAGACCCTGCTCCCCTCTTGAGTCACTTGGCCCTCACCTACCACTGGCCTTGCTCAGAAGTGGATTCTTACCACTTCCTGCCAGTCTAGGGGATGCCTTTGTGGGGGTCAGAAGAGGCACTTCACCACCCTGGACAGGACGTCAACCTTCATTGTCCACCACAGGCTGCCATCTTCCACTGTCTGGGTGGGTTAGCCTTGCCTAGTATCATCTTTATTCTCCTCACTCCTTCCTGCAAGCCCTTTGAGGATTTGGGCTCATGGGTGGGTCCTGAGCCAGCTCCATGGGGCTTGAGTGTCAGAACTTGCATGGATGTGAGAGCTCTGTCCTGCCAGCATCACTGAAGTTCCAAGGAGAATTCAGGCTGGCTTGGAGGAGGGAGGACAAAGGCCATCACTGGGAGCCAAGATTTGTACTGCTCAGAGGATGTAGCATTCCTCCTGCTCTTGGTTCCCAGCAAAGCCTATCCTGGCCTTTGTCCAAATCCTCAGGCTAGCACACAGGTAACCATGATGTCCCCACCCCACCCAGGAGCTGCACAGGGAAGTGAGGGCACAGGGGCTGAAAGACAGGTTGCCTCAGGCCACTTCCACCGACATCTGGACAACAGAGCATCAAGGCCACCACAGTCACCCGTAGGGTGGATGCCTCCATGTGAAATGGTACCTACTCAACAGGGAGGAGAGAATGGGGTCTTCACAAAGTAGATTTCTACCATTGGAAGAGAACAAAGTATGTGCATAGTGTAGAAGTCAAACCAATCTGAGGACTTTCTTCCTCCTGTAAGATGTATGCCCTCCATTGGGAGAGCTTGGGGTTTCTAAGATGTGTCCCTGTCATTAGCTGTGTATATGTTCTGTCCCATTACCTGTGGCACCTGAAGTTCCCTGAGGGCTGTGACTGTCAATGACTGACTCCTTGGGGAGCCCCAAGAAATGAAGGGGAAAGACTGAGTCCTTGATTCCAAGTAAAGTATAAAATCATCAGAAAAGCTGCCAGAACTCTGTAGGCTGCAGGGCCAGAGCTACCTCCCCAGGTGGCAATGGCCATGTGGACAGGTGTTGAAATTGGAGCTCCACTTTCCTATCTTTATCATCTTTCTGTCTATCTGCCCCAGGACTCATTTTGCAGCTGTTTTTGACATTGACTGCCGCAGAGGAAAACCTGATAGGTAAGTTTGCCCAGTCAGGCCCGTCAGTGACTTAAACTGAGGATTAGTTGTTGAGGTCTGGGTCCTCTCACCAAAAAGTGGGGAATGGAGGTTTACCCTGCAGGATGGGCCCAGAGATGGTCTTCTGGAATTAACAGAAGCCATTTCTGCCTCCTTAAATGTCTAGAATTTTCTGAGCTCTTCCAAGTCCAATGGCAACATCATTCATTCCTTACGCCCTTCTACTTTTGGATCCCCAGTTGGTAGCTGACTTCCTTCATTTTTGGGGCCTTCTGACCATGGTCTACATCCCCACAGCCTCTGCCCCCACAGCCTCTGTCTCCAAAGACTGTGCTCTATGGTGCCCCCTGCACTCCACATGTGTCAATGCTACTGCCTGTCGCTGTCTTCCGGGATTCAGCTCTTCATCTGGGGAGATCATCACTGACCTCTTGGAGACTTGCGATGGTACAGAGACTTGGGTGGAGAGTGGAGGGCATACAGAAATTGTTGTGGGGGGAGGTTGTGGGGCATCCAGAGCCCTCATCCCTGGGAGCAGCACAGGAGCACTTTGTCAAGGATAAGAGAGAAGACACAGGGCAGGGAAGGAGGGGGGAAGTGGGCAGTTTGTCATGAATAGTCTATCAAATCCACTACCCATTTTTAAATTAGATTGCATAGTTGTTTTGTTGTTGTTGTTGTTGTTGTTGTTCTGTTGAGTTCTATGAGTCCTTTATATAGTATTTTGGATGTCAACCACTTATCACCCATATGATTTGCAAATATTTTCTCCCAAGTTGTAGGTTGTCTTTTTATCTTGTTGATGGTTGCCTTTGCTATACAGTAGTTTTTTAGGTTATGTAACCCCATTTATTTATTTTTGCTTTTGTTGCCTTTGCTTTCTATGTCAAATCCAAAAAATCTTTGCTAAGTCCAATGTCAAGGAGTTCAGCTCCTGTGTTTCATTCTAGGACATTTATGGTTTCATGGTAGTATTGTTTTTTAAAAGATCATAATTTGTAGCAAAGGGATTGAGTAAATTATCCAAAGTCACACAATTAATAAGGTGGTAGAACCTAGATCCAGGACTAAAACTGGAGTTTTTATTCTTCAATAACACAAGATCAAGAAAGGAAAGTATACTTCTTAAAATGGTGAAAATGGTAAATTTACGCTATGTGAATTTTACCACAGTATACAAGGGGCAAAAAATTTATATGATTTTACACCAAGAAATTCTCTTCATCTACTCAAAATAGTCTTAGATACATATTTATTGATAATTTAAAATCATTCCTTTGTGTTTTAAACAATTAAAAAATTCCTAAAATTTCCCAGTAGTCTGTGTAGTGAACTTATAGGTGATTTTCTTTGTTGTCTGCATTTTCTTTGTTTTCTAAGTATCTATATGGTATTTAATATTGAGTGAAAAATAAATTTTATTAAGGGAAAGAAAAAGATGTTGAGCAATGCCCAGCCAATCCATGACCCTGGAGGTATTCCTAAAAAGTAGCAAAAAGTAGTCCTTCATGCATTCGCATGTGGATGTCTCATGAAAATTTGTAGACTCAGTGGACATGGAAGAGATCCTGCTGCTACTGTAACTGGATCCCAGCTTCATGCTGGGAGCACACTTGTCAGGTTGAGTAATTTCCCACTGTCATGTCTTCCAGGGCCACACTCCTAGTTTCAGCTGTTTCTCATACAACTCTACCCCATACTCTTAACCTGGAAGACAGGCCTCCAGCCATTGTTATGATTTCACCAAGAGCAGAAGCATCCCTCCTTCTTTTTCTCTGACCTGGTGCTGACACCCATAGCCTAGGCCAGGGACCTTAGAGGGAAAACCCACATGTTTAAAGAAGAAACTTTGATCTGAAAGAGACCAGCTGAGAGTCCTATCAGGCTCTAAAGTCTTTGGTTCCCTGCATTTTGGTTCATTCTTGTGTATGTGGTTCTTATTAAGCCATTGTTTTTAGCCAACAGTGCCTAGCCCCTGCTCAGTGGGTCCCTGAGCTACTCAAAGGGGACCTGGGTCATTGGCACCTCTTTCTATCTCATGCTCAGAGAAGAAGGAGATAAGATACCAGAAAACACTTTAGTGACTCAGCTGTGAGCAGCTTCATGCTGCTTCCTCATTTCACATCTGTGATAGACTCTGATAAGGGGGAACTTTCTCCAGAGATGGAGACAAGAAGACTTCTCTGAGAGAGACATCCTGGGGTATCTTCAAAAGGGCAGACATTGGTTGCTGGGAGAGGGCCTGACAAGGAGGGTGGGGTGCAGTATACTTGGGCCACTCTGAGTAATGGGAGGTGGAGACCTCAATGGTCAGGGGCCAGACACTTGGCTCTATCTTCAGGTGTGAATGATGATATCACCCTGGACAGTCCCCAGCCATGACCCCCTCCACGACCTCAGCACTGAGGGTGGCCTTCACTGCCACACTGACCCTGACTGGAGGCCACTCCCAGGTTCCCAGTGGTGCAAACAGCACAACAGTGGAGGGTTGTAGCCTGAGTCAGTGTCTCCATCTACCACTCAAGGCCTGGAATGGGGGATGCAGCCCTCCTTCCTCCTCCATCATGACACAACAGAGTGTCTGAGTCTACGTGCTCTCAGAGCAGCCAGAGAGCAGAGATGAGCAGAGAGGTCAGTGGCCTGCAGCAGCTGGCTCTGCCCAGCCCAACCCAGCCCAGCCCAGCCCAGGAGTGCCACCCTGGCCCTGTGTTCTGTCCAGTCCCCATGACAGTGTCTGGCTGGGTGCCAGGGCCTCTGTTCTATGGGAACTTACACTGTTGAGAGGTGACCCTTTGTCTTGTTTGTTTCAGACATCAACGAGTGTGGACCACCCTTGTCAGTTTCCTGTGGAAAATTGGCAGTGTGCCAGAACATGGAGGGGAGCTACTACTGCATGTGCACCCCAGGATACAGGCTTGTTTCTGGAGCAATGAATTTCAGTCATGAGAGTCAGAACACATGTCAAGGTAAGAATGATCTCGAATCCTCCATCTCCCTGTCCCCGCAGTTTGGGGTCCATTGCCCCACTTTCTTCAGGCATTAGAAGGCCATCCAGGGCACCTACTTGATATCTGCCCTCTCTGAACCCTAAGGCTCAGAACCCTCTACAGGGTGCCACTTCCAGATGTTCAGAATGTCCCTCCTGCCAACCTGGAATCTTATTTTTACAAAATAAGAGGGGGAGTAGCATTAAGATACTTCACATTTTAGGAGGTGACCCTTGGTTTTCTTGTGTTCCAGACATCAATGAATGTGAACCATCCTCAATGGTATCCTGTGGAAAATTTGCCAACTGCCAGAACACAGAGGGGAGCTATTACTGCAGGTGCAACTCAGGATATAGGCTTCATTCTGGGGCAACAGTGTTCCGGAATGAAAATGAGAACACATGTCAAGGTAAGAACCTCCCTGTGTTTTCCAGCTCCTTGTCTGTGAAGTTTTAGGTCATTTGGCCCACTTTCCACAACATAAGAGGACTGTCCTACTTGGTCACCTGCCTTCTCTGAAATCCAAGGCCCAAAACCCTCCACAGAGAGTCATTTCTGGAAGTTCAAAGTATCCCTCCTGCCTTTCTGGCATCTTATTTCCATAAAACAAAAGAGAAGGACAACATTCAAGACTCTTTGGGAGCTCATAGTGCATTGTATGCCAGCACAATATCCATCCTCTCCACCGTCACCAGTGACTGCCAAACCAGGACCTTCCCCCACTGCAGCACATGTGAGCTCAGCCACACCATACAGACTCTCTCAGGCCTCTTGGCCTCTGACAGATCCAGTAAGTTTGTCCAGAAACATGGGAATGGGGGTTCTAGGACAGACCCATCTTCCCTGGCCATCCCTGTCCCCAACCAACAACCTTCACACCCTGGCCCCACTTCTCAGCTGCTCAGACTCCATCTATTTTTAAGTGATGTCCTTGAACCACCCCCCAATAATTTCAGCTCACCACATGAGGACAACGCAGATGATGAGGACCCAGAAGAATGTTGGGTCAGGTCTGGGCAGGATGACATGGACCCAACCACACACACGCAAACTTGAAGAGTCACATAAATGGAAGAAGTTACCGTCTGAACCAGGCTACAACAGAGGGCACCATCGGGGACAACTGCCTCACTCATGGGGGTACACAGGTCTGTGTTCCTGGTGAGAGACCAAGGGGCCAGAGCACAGAAATGTCTGCCACCCCTCATTCATCACACCCGCTCCCCTCTCCAGCCAGACAGCCCTCACTTCCACGGGTCTTCATCAGACATGGATTTTCTCCACTCCCTGCCAGTCTAGGGGATGGCTTCTTAGGAATGAGAAAAAGGCACCAGGAATGGCAGGCTGGATATCAGCCCCCAATGACCAACCAGGACTTGGTTTCACTGTCTGGGTGGCCCTGTGTTGTCCAGCAACTTCATTCTCCCTACCCCTGTCATATAGCCTCATCTGTGGAGGGCCTGCCTCAGGAATGGTTCTTGGGCCATCTCTCTCTAGATTTCTCAGGGTTGGTGTTGAGGGGAGACTGCTGCCCTGACAGCGTCAATAGGATTCCAAGGAAAACTCAGTCAATGAGCAGCCACTCTTCAGGAATTAGGACAAAGGCTATTATGGAAACCCAAAATGGATCCTGCTAGTGAGATGCAGCATTTCCTTTCCACTCAGTTCTCAAGAAAACCCACTCTGTCTCTGCCCCCACCCAAGCTGGGAGCTTCCCAGGAAAGCTGAGGGTATTGGGGGTGGCAGACAAGTAGTACTCAAGCTGATTACACCCACTTCCAGACAACAGAGCATCTAGACCACCACATTACTATGCTATGAGGCCTTCATGTGAATAAGAAAGGGGGCCCACTAACTGGTGGGGAGGAAAGCGGGGGATCAGGGGTTCTTCCAGGTGCTCCCAAACCAGGGTCTGTGAATTACCAAATGACAATCTGGGAAGGTACCAGGATAGACCTTTCAACAGACTCCATCCCCAAACACACATGCACACACACCCAACACACACACACACACACACACACACACACACACACACCCCAAATGAACTGTTGTTCTTTCCATACCAGGAGCATCCTTCCCCAACTGGACTACACCCCCTAGAATCAACAGCAAGGTGAGTGGCTCAAGCAGAAACCAAGAGGCAAAAAATACCTCTGTGTTGCCTACAGCACACATCTAGATTCCCCAAGTTCCCCCATCCACCTGGGAGTCTCTCTGACCATCTTATCTCCCCTCACCCCAGAGCTATTCCCGATTCTTAAAAGAAATTGATGATTTGGGCAGAGACTTCACATCATCCTCAGCTATGGACACCATCCAGGTAAAGATAGAACCCAGGGGAGGCAAGTGGAGGCAGCTCATAGAGGACTGGGGGAACCTTGGTTTGGGAAGAGACAAACCTCAACACAATGGTACCCTGCTCTGAGTCCCCACCTCTCCTGGGTGGGTGGGAAGAGCAGACACACAGAGTTTGTACTCACTGTTAGACACCATGTACACAGATTAGCATCTTTTCTCTCACTGTTCCTGCCCCTTGGGTTTACATCAACATTGGCATTCATGAACAGGGCTGACCTCTGAGTGGCTGGAGTGCAGGGGCAAAGACCCAGGAAATGCCACCTGGTACCATTTTTCTCTTCAAATAATCAGTTGTCTATGGCTGAGTGTGTAGAGTCTTCCTGTAGCTCCTCTGGTGTAATATCCACTGTTTCTGTGTCCCCAACTTCCCCCCCACCCAAGAACATCGTACAGGTGGTTGACAGCCTACTGGAGAACCCCGAAGACCTGAAGACCTGTTCCCTCTCAGAGCAGCACTCTGTGGCCACTAACCTGCTCTTCAACATGGAGCATGTCTTGAGAGAACTGAGCAAGTCCCCACCCAATGAGTCACTGGCCTTTAATGCAGCAGGAGGCACAGGTAAGTACTGGGGTCTGCCCTTGGCTCTCCTCTGTCCATTCTCCACCTCATTCCTCCCCCAACCTCATGGCAGCTGAGTGACCACACTTGTATCTCAGTGTTATTCTCATAAACAAATTAAAATAAAAGCTTAAAAATAAATGAATAAATTATGCAAAGTGAAATAAGTCAGACAGAAACAAATACTGTATGATGTCACTTGTATGTGGAATCTAAAAAACAAACTCATATATACAGAGACCAGGCTGGTGGTTGCCAGAGGCAGGGGGTAAGGGGTGGTTGAAATGGATGAAAGGTCAAAAGCTACAATTTCCAGTCACAGAATAAATAGGTCATGGAGATATGGAGTGCACAGAATGGCAACTATAGTTAATAACTATGTATTACGTATATAAAAGTATCCATTTGAGTACATTTTAAAGGTCCTTATAGCAAATCTTAAAAATTTAGTAACTATGTATAATGACCAATGTTAGTTAGACATATTGTGGTGATCATTTTGCAATATATATGTGTTGAACCATTTGAACATCTGAAAGTAATGTCAATTTATACCTTAATAAAAGAGAAATGAATACAATTATAAATAATATATACTTTCATAATAAAATCAATTATGAACAGATGAAATAAAGATAGTGAAGAATTTAAAATACAAAACACTTCAAAAAGAATAATTTATTTCATTTTAAAGAATATATATTTAATATTACTTGGTATTTAAAATGATTGGTCTTATTGAGGTAAAATTCTCATAACATAAAGGTCACTATTTTAATCAATTGTACAATTCAGTGGCATTTAGTTCATTCAGAGGTATAATCATCACCTCTTCATCGAACATATTTCCGTCACTCCAGAGCCAAACACAGTACCCACTCAGCACTTGCTCCTCATTTCTTCCTCCTCTAGCCCCTGGCAACCACTTACCTGTTTTATGTCTCTATAGATTTGCCTATTTGGGACATTTCATATAAATCAAATCATTAAGTACATTACCCTATTATTTAGCTTCTTTTGCCTAACAATGTTTTCAAGGTTCATCTGTGTTGTAGCATGTATTGTCAACAGATGATACTTGGCACCAATTCAAACACAAACAGGAATCCCCAATTGGGGGTGTGGTAAAGAAGAAAACTACTCAGTGCAAAATAGTTCCGTTGTGGTAGAGCAAGACTGTGAAAACAGAACAGCTGCAGGACAGCCGTGGGGCCAGGCCCCTCTCCAGCCAAACATCTCCTCTGCTCCTCAGTGGTCTGCTCTGCTCTGCTCTGCTCCACAAAGTGCAGGCCTGCTTTACTCCACTTTAGTGAGACACCTTCAGTATTGCAGCTCAGCCAGGGAGACACAGCCCAGGAAATGAGGTGGCTTATATGGACAAAAGTCCCCATTCCCAATTTCTGATTGTTCCCTTCTCATGCAAATGAGGATGCCAAATGCATACAGTTTGATTGATCCAAAGGGTACTTTCCTGATTGGTCAGAATAGAGACTGTCTGATTGGTTGCCACTGGGCAGCCTTGGCTGGATGGGGAAGCCTCAATCCCATTGGTTGAAATAGGATTCCAGGAATCCTTTATAAGGGCTGGCTCTGATGGCAGGCATTTTAGGGCACAGGCAGGCCCTTTAGCACAGAGTCCAGTCTGTGATGTGCAGTTTGCCTGAGAGGGCCCTGCACAGGAATGACTGCTAGGCTTCTGCTTTCCTTTGATTTGAGCCCAGTTAGCTACCAGGAACCCTTCTTAGTAGGTTTCTTTGGTTCCTCAGGGTTCATAGTATCATATTTCTTTCCTTTTTATGGTTGAATAATAGTCCATTGCATATGGACATACCACCTTTTGCTTATCCATTCATCCATTAATACACATGTAGGTTGTTGCCTCCTTTTGACTATTGTGAATAATGCTAATATGAATATTGGTGTACAAGTTTTGTCTGAATAATTTTTTCACCTCTTTAGCGTACATAACAGGATGAAATTTCTGAGTGATGTGGTAATTCTACATTCAACTTTTTTGAGGAACCACAAAACTATTTTTCCAAAATGCCTCTTCCATTTACATTCCCAACAGCAATTTACTAGAGTTCCAGTTTCCACATCCTCAGAAACACTTGTTGCTTCCCTTTTGTTTTGTATTTTTTTATAGCTTTTCTAGTGTATGTGAGGTGACATCTCATTATGGCTTTGTTTTGCATTTCCCTAATGACTAATGCTGTTCAACATTTTTACCTGTCATTTTTGAACATTTGAGTATGTGTTTTGGATAAATGTCTATTCAAGTCCTTTGCCGATTTTTAAATTTTGGTTGTTGAGCTATAAGCATTTGTGGTATATCCTAAGAGGATACCCTATGAGATACATGATTTGCAGCTTTTGTCCCAGTCCATAGGTGGTCTTTTCACATTCTTCATAGTCTTCACTAGTGAACAGATGCTTTGGGTATAATGAAGTCCATTTTATCTACTTTTTTCTTTTCTTGCATGTACATGTGGTATCATATCTAAGAATCCATTTCCAAATTCAACACCATGAAGATTTGCCCTTATATTTTTTCCTAATTGTTCTAGTTTTAGCCCCTAAATATAAGTCTTTGACTCATTTAAGTTAATTTTTTTTAGTGAAGGAGGTAAAGTACCAACTTCTTTTCATGTCTATAGATAACAAGGTGGCCAAACACCATTTGTAGAAGAAACTACTCTTTTTACAGTGAGGGATTTTAGCACCTCTTGTTGAAAATTAATTGACCATAGACAAGCGAGTTTGTTTCTAGACTCTCAATTCCATTTTGATGGTCTATATGTCTGTCCTTATGCTGGTACCATACTGGGGTTTTTTTAGTGTAAATATAATATTTATTTATTTATCAATTATTTTTAAAATTAAAGTTGACATTCAATATTATTTTTATTAGTTTCATGTGTACAGCATACTGGTTAGACATTTATATAATTTACAAAGTGATCCCCTGATAAGTCCAGTACCCACCTGGCACCATACATAGTTATTAAAATATTATCAACTATATTCCCTGTGCTGTACTTTACATTCCTGTGACTATTTTGTAACTACCAATTTGTGCTTCTTAATCCCCCATCCCCTTTTTCACCCAGTCCCTTAATTAAACCTCTCCCCATACAGCAACCATCAGTTTATTCTCTGTATCCATGAGTCACATTCTGTTTTGTTTATTTTGACCTTGATATTCCACATTAAAGTAAAGTCATATGGAATTTGTCTTGCTCTTTCTGACTTATTTGATTTAGCACAATACCCTCTAGGTCCACCCATGTTGTCACAAATGACAAGATTTTATTTTTTTTCTATGGCTTAATAAGATTCCATTGTGTATATGTGACCTCCCCTTTATCTATTCATGTACTGATGGTCACTTAGGCTGCTTCCATATGTTGGCTATCATCAGTAATATTGCAGTGAGCACAGTGGTCCATCTATCTTTTTGAATTACTACTTTGGATTTCTTTGAATAAATACCCAGAAGTTGAATTGCTGAGTCATAAAGCAGTTGTATTGAATTGTTTTTAGAAACTTCTATACTGTTTTCCATGGTGGCTGCACCAATTGTACCACCAACAATGCACAAGGGATTTATTCCACATCTTCACCAAAACTTACTGATTGTTGAGTTATTGATGTGGCCATTATGACAGCTGTGAGGCGGTATTTCATTGTGGTTTTAATTTGTATTTCTCTGATGATTAGTGACATTGAGCACCTTTTCATATGTCAGTTTACCATCTGTACGTCCTCATTGGAGAAATGTCTGTCACATTCTCTGACCATTTCTTAATTGGATTATTCATTTTGTTTTGGTGTTGAGTTGTATGAGTTCTTCATAAATTTTGGATATTAACCCCTTATCAAATGTATCACTAGCAAATATCTTTTCCCAATTCGTAGGCTGTCTTTTTATTTTGTTGATGGTTTACTTTGCTGTGCAAAAACCTTTTTAGTTTGATGGAGTCCCATTTATTTATTTTTTCTTTTGCTTCCTTAGCTTGAGGGGATATATCAAAAAATACTACTGTGAGTAATGTCAGAGAGTTTACTGCCTCCCTTTTCTTTCAGGAGTTTTAAGGTTTTGGGCTTGACACTTAAACCTTTAATCCATTTTTACTTTATTCTCATATATAGTGTAAGAAGATCATCTAGTTTCAATTTTTGGCATGTTTCTGACCAGTTTTCTCAACAGCATTTATTGTAGAAATTGTCTTTACCCCACAAAGGAGGTATATTCTTGCCTCCTTTGTCATAGATTAATTGACCACATAGGTGTGGGTTTACTTCTGAGCTCTCTATCCCATTCCATTGATCTAGATGTCTGTTTTTATGCCAGTACAATGTCGTTTTGATTACTGTAACCTTGTAGAAGAGTTTAATATCAAGTAGCACAATACCACCAACTTTGTTCTTCTTTCTTCAGATTGCTGTGGCTATTCAGGACCTTTTGTGATTCAATATAAATTTTAAAGTTGTTTTTTCTAGTTCTGTGAAAAATGCCATTGATATTTTTGGTCTTTTTAAATAGTAAATTTATCTGAGTGACATTGCTTAATAAGATTACATTGGTTTCAAGTGTACATTTCTGTGATACATGATGTGTATATTGCATTGTGTGCCCACACCCAAAATCAAATCATCTTCTGTCACCACATAATTGACCCCATTTTCCCTTTACTAACTTCCTGTCCCAACTTCCCTCTGATGACCACCATACTGTTGTCTGTGGCTATCAGTTTTTGTTTGTTTGTTCATACATTGCTTTCACTTTTACATCTCACACAAGTGAAATCATATGATTCTTAACTTTTTCTGTACAATTTATTTTGCTGGGCATGATATTCTCAAAGTCCATCCATGTTGTTGCAAATGGCATTTTCTTATGACTGAGTAGTATTCCATTGTGTATATCTCCTACATCTGTATCCAGTCATCTATCAAAGGATGCTTTGGTTGTTTCCATATCTTGGCCACTGTGAATAATGCTGCAGTGCACATAGGGTTGTGTATATCTTTGCAAATAAATGTTTTCAAATGTTTCAGGTAGATACTTAGAAGAGGGGTTGGTGAGTCACGTGGTAACTATTCTCCATTTTTTGCAGAAACTCCATATTGTTTCCCATAGTTGCTGTACAAGTTTACATTCCCTCCAGCTATATATGAGGGTTTCTTTTTCTCCACAGCCTCTCCGGCACTTGTTATTACTTGTCTTATTGATAATGGCCATTCTAACAGGTGTGAGGTGGTATCCCATTATAGTTTTGATTTGCATTTCCCTAATAGCTAGGAAAATTAAGCATCTTTTCTTATATCTGTGGCCATTTGTATGTCTTCTTGGGAGAAGTGTCTGTTCAGATCCTCTGCCCATTCTGTAATTGGATTTTTCATTTGTGTGGCACTGAGTTGTATAAATTCTTTATATATTTTGAATATTAACCCCTTTTGAGAGCCACTGATTGCAAATATCTTCTCCCATTGGTTGCCTTTTTTTTTCTGATGGTTTCATTTGCTGTGCAGAAGCGTTTTGTTTAATATAGTTGCATTCATGTATTTTTCCTTTTCTTGCTTTTGGGGTCAACTTCATAAACTCTCCTCTATGACCAAGGTCCATAAGATTAATACTTATGTTTTCTTCTATGTCATTTATTGTTTCACATCTTATATTTAGGTCTTCGATCCATTTTGAGTTGTGCCTCCATTTTGTTTAGTTCTTCTCTGGAGTTTTCTCTTCTTTCATTTGTGACATGTTTCCTTGTCTCTGCAGTTTGGCTATTTCTGTGTTTGCTTCTATGTATTAGGTAGATCTGCTATGTCTTGCAGACTTGTCAGGGTGGCCTTCTGTAGCATCTGTCCTGTGAGTCCCAAAGGTGCAGTCTCCTTGATTTCTTGAGCTGGGTGCTCCAGGAGTGTCCCTTGTGTGATTTGAGTGTGCCTTCCTATTGTAGTTGACTTTTGATTGCTGTTGGCACATCACTGGGTGGGGTTGACCCTCAGGCTGATTGGCTGTGAGGACTGGCCATGACCACAGTGTATGAACTGATTCCATGTGTAGGGGCTGATTCCATGGTGAGGAATTTGCACCAGTGGGACTCTGGTGTCTGTGGAAACCACCCTTTGGTTGTGCCACTTGTGGAGCTAATCAGGTACTGCTCTGTTGCAGTCTGAAGTCAGTCTTCATGTTGGTTCTGGGGCCAGTGATCAGCACAGGGCCATCCTGTGGGAGCTACAAATCTATCCATGACTGGTAGCTGCTTGTGCTGAGCCTGGAGTCCTGTGGGGGAAGCCTATGAGTTGAGGTCAGCTGCCACCAAGTACTGGGCATGGGCCTCTCACTAAAGGCCAGGGACTACCAAGGACTGCTGCTACATTCCAGCTGTCTGTGAGGCTGAGCTGCTGAATGAGCCTTTGGCTGTGTGGGAGTTGGGTGAGGTGGGGTCTCAGGGAGTCACCAGGATTGAGCAAGTGATTTTCATTAAGTTAATGCAGATTCAGATTTGGCATCAGTGCTGAGCCTTGGGCCATTCAGCAAAAGGCCCAGGGCACAGTGAGACCAGCCACTGCCTGCCTGGGGCCTGTGGACCTTTTGAGAGTTTTTAAGAAAGACTGCAGCATGGGCCAAGGCTGCCTGCCTTACCTCTGAGCAGCCTCCAGCAGTGCATGGGTACATGTCAGCTTCTTGCTGCTGAAAGAGCCTTTGGTGGGGCCTGAGTCGGGTGGGGCAGGGTCTCAGGGAATCCACAAGGTGGGATGAGTTATGTTCACCAGACCAATGCAGACTCAGACTTGGTCGTGTGGGGGAAGGGCTCAACACAGAAAAGGTGGTGCTCACCACCCAGCTGTGTGGGAGGAAGACTCAACACAGAGACAATAGAAGCTGTCCTTCCAGCCCTGACCCTGAAGCCATACAACTTAGTTTCTCCCTGTATATCTCTGGTTCCTCTGGTATCTCCCTCTGCCAGAGCCCAGAGTAAGCGCCTGCGAGTATGTGAGTCTGTGTGCAGACCCTTTAAGAGGACACCTGGCTTTCCAAAAGCCATTCATCTCACCCAGGTCGACAGAATTTCTACTGATTCTCACAGCCAGATATGGGGGCTTTTCTACCCAGCACTGGTACTTCTGACTGGGGAGGCCAGTGTGGGGCTTGGACTCCTCCCTTTTGAGGGGGGACCTCTGCAGCTGAGATGTCTATCTGAGCTCTCAGCTGCTGTACTGTGTGTGCTGCCAGCTCATCTCCATCCCCACCAGTCTTGATGTGGCTTTTTCTTTATTTCCATAGTTATAGGACCTCTGTACAGCTAGCCTTCTCAGGGTTCCCAGCTGATTGTTCTGTAATTTAAAAGTAATTTTGATGTGGTCATGGTGAGTAGAGTGTTTACCTACTTTGCCATCTTGACTGGAACTCAGCACCATACTGCTCTGATTACTTTAGATTGACAGTACGTTTGAAATCAGGAAGTGTGAGTCCTCCAGATTTATTTTTTATTTTTAAGATTGTTTTGAGTATTTGGGACTCTTGCAATACCTTATGAACTTTAAGATGATCTTGTCCCTTTCTGTAAAAAGAAATAAATAAAACGATGTTGCAATATTGATATGGACTAAATTTAGTCTGTAGATCACTGGGAGACTGTTGCCATCTCCAATCCATTAACACAAAATGTCTTTTGATTTATTTACAGTTTAAAATTTTTCTTGATAATATTTGTAGTTTTCCATGTACATATTTTGAACTTTGCTAGATAAAAATATTCCCAATATTTGGTTGAATAATTGTACATCTCTGTATATAAGTGATATTGGTCTACAATTTTATTTTCTTGTGATGTCTTTACTTGACTTTGATCTCAGGGTAATGGTAACTCCTTAGAATAGAATTCTAAGTCACAGAATTACTCAGCATTCCTTCCTCTTCTATTTTATGGAGAATTTTACAAAGGATTTAGTGTTAATTCTTTCATAAATGGCTGGTAGAACTCACTAATGAAGCCATCAGTTATGAGCTCTATATTTTGAGAAGTTTTTGATTACTGGTTCAATCTATTTACCTGTTATATGTCTGTTCTAACTTCTTATTTCTTATTAATTCAGTGTTGGTAGTTTGTGTGTCTCTAAGAACTTCTATATTTCATCTAGGTTATTTAAGCTGTTGAATGGCTGTTCATAATATTCTTTCATAATTCTTTGTAAATCCCTAACATATATATGCTATTATTATGTATACCAAATATTATGTGCAATATTGTTATGTGTGCCAAATAATACCATTATTTAAAATAATACCTATTATTCAATATATAAATATGATGTTATATAATATAGATATTTTATATAGATTATTTATATAATATATTAAATATCTATAATAGGGTATTATAGCAGCCATTGCAAGTGCAATTACTAATCTAACTCCCTTATGTAACTCCCACAATGCACAGAACTGTCCCTGAAGGTAAAGGAGCAAGGACAAAGGAATGTCAGCTTGAGTGTCAATAAAGCAAAGATGCTGCTGAACTGGGATACAGTTCAGGAATCTGGGGATGCAGGTAATGGTTGAGATGGGGAGAAGGTCACTGAGATTTCACAGTGGGACAAAATGCCCAAGGATGGGACAAATGGAAAATTGAAGTCTAAAAAAAAGTGAGGGCTATGGTGGGTCCACAAGGAAAGAGTCTACCTGAAGAAGAAGAGGTCCTATTGGGCACCCCAAGATGTCAACCTTAACCTTGCCCTGCAGGCCCTTCTGTGGTGGGCCTTATCTCTACTCCAGGGATGGGCAAGTTGCTGGCAGGGGCCCCCCTTGTGCTGGAAACTGAGGGACCAGAAGTTCTGCATGAGACACACACAGGCTTGCTGCAGGGGGTCTCCCCAGTCCTGCTCTCAGATGTCATCTCTGTCTTTGTGAGCAACAACAACACCCAGAACCTCAGCTCCCCAGTCACCTTTGTCTTTGAGCATGTGAGTCCTGTGGGATGGGTCTGTGGGTGTGGAAGAGGCCCGGGTCTTGGCACAGTCTTGGGGCTCCAGGGGCTTCCCCATGGGTGCATCATCTCCCCAGGAAAGCCTTTCAGAAGCGAGATCTGGGTCAGCATTTCTGGGCACCAGAACCACCAGCTCATACCTGTGCCCTGTTCCTACAGTCAGTGACCCCTGGGCCAAGGCAACAGGTGCTCTGTGTCTTCTGGGAGCATGGCCAGAATGGAAGCGGTTATTGGTCCACCAAAGGTTGCAGGATGGTGGGCTCCAGAGACACCAGCACCACCTGCCAATGCACCCACCTCAGCAGCTTTGTGGTCCTCATGGCCCAGTATGACGTGCAGGTGAGAGACCTAAGAGAAGGTGAATTCAATGTCTATTGCTGTGTAATAAATGCAGACAGATGTCCCACCTTTAAACACACACACACACACACACACACACACACACACACACACACAAATTTGTTATCCTGAAGAATCCTCAGGTCGACCATCTAACACAGTGTAGCTGGGTTGTCTACTCCAGGTCTCACAAGCTTGTAATGACTGTGTCTGCCAGACCTGTAATCTCATCTGAGTTTAGGAGTTCTCCTCTAAGCTCCCTGGGTTCTGGCAGAATTCAGCTCCTTGCAGTTGTAGGACTGATTTCTCACATCTTTACTAGCTGGAAGTAGGGGGCCACACCCAGCTCTGGGGGCTACCTGCATTCCTTCCCATGCAGCCCTCTCCTCTCCTCATTCTCCCACAGTATATCAGTATTCCTACCTGGAGGCCAGCAGGAGAAGCCCCCTCACATGAAAACTCAAAGTTTGAATCACTTTTTTCAAGAGCTGAGATCAGTTAAGAGCTCATCTGATTAGGTCTGACCCACCCAAGATGAACTCCCTCTCTTCAAGTCAGTTGACTGTGGATCTGAACCAGACTGCCTTCACAGAAGCACCCAGATGGCATTGGACTGACAACCTGGGAGCAGTTATGCATACACATGTGGGTAGGGTTATGGTTGTCAACTAAGATTCTGCCTACCAAAAGGATCTTCAGGACAGCAGTAATCAGGGGCAGCAGAAAGGAGGATATGGTGATGGCAGAGGTCAGAGAGGGCCGGGGAATCCAGTGAGTACAGGTGAGTTAGTGGCTGTGTTTGCCTCCTCCCCTGCCCAGTTGAGCTGGTTACTTCTCTAGTTCAATAAAACCAGAAGCTTGCTCAGGAGACTTCAGGTAAGGGGGCATTTACTGAAATAAATGTGGCACCCACATGAAAATAACCATGAAAAAGATAACAGCCACATGGCCAGATCTCACAGAAGCTTCCAGAAGTGTGAACAACACTACATGACCATGTTTCCTCTGGCCACATCACTAGATAACACAATATTTATACTTGTATTGACATACCATTTTATATTTGCTGAAGACTTAAAACATTTGTGTTTTGGAGTTCCAGCCAAGATGGAGTCATAGGTAGAAACCCTTCACTTCCCCTCACAAGCAAAAGGACAATAACAACCAACCTAAAATCAATAAACAACCAAAAATGCCAGGAAATCAAAGTGCATGGAACTCCAACAACCAAGGAATTAAGAAAAAATCAACCAGAATAACCAAACCAGTAAGGCAGACCACTTAGGCAGACTCAGAAAAACCATGGCAAGGTGGCTGGGGGGCAGGGCTGACCACCTCAGAAGAGCTGCACAGAAAGGGCAGACTTAAGGGGAAAACTGAGACTTAGAACTGACTGTGGGCTACAGGTTGGGATTGTGGCAGTGAGAGATACTTCCAGTCTGACACGGGAGTCTGTTGGAAAGTGCACTGGAGATAAACAAGCAAGCTGCATTGTTCCCTCTCTGGCCCTTCCCCCACAAGCAGCACAGCAAAGAGGGTTGCCCCACCCAGGTGAATACCTAAGGCCCCACCCCTTACAACTTAGCAGGTGCACCAAGACAAAGAAATATGACCCAAAAGAAAGAACACAGCAAAACCTCAGAACTAATCGATGAGGAGATTGCCAACCTAACTGATGGAGAATTTAAAGCCCTGGTAATCAAAATGCTCACAGAACTGATTGAGGTTGGTTAAAAAATGAAAGAACAAATGAAAGATACCCAAAATGAAATAAAGCAAAATATTCAGGGAACCAACAGTGACAGGAAGGAAACCAGAATTCAAAGCAACAATTTGGAACAAAAGGAAGAAATAAACTTCCAACTGGATCAGAACAAAGAAACAAGAATCCAAAAAAATGAAAAGAGGCTGAGGATTCTCTGGGACAACCTGAAACATTCCAATATCCAAATTGTAGGGGTGCCAGAAGAAGAAGAACAACAACAAGAAATTGAAAACTTATTTGAACAAATAATGAAGGCAAACTTCCCCAATCTGGAAAAGGAAATAGACTTCCAGGAATTCCAGGAAGCCCAGAGAGTCCCAAAGAAGTTGGACCCAAAGAGGAACACACCAAGGCACATCATCATTAAGTTACCCAAGATTAAATATAAAGAGAGAATCCTAAAAGCAGCAAAAGAAAAAGAGACAATTACCTACAAAGGAGTTCTCATAAGGCTATCAGCTGATTTCTCAAAAGAAACCTTGCAGGCAAGAAGGGGCTGGAAAGAAGTATTTGAAGTCATGAAAGGCAAGGCCCTACATCAAAGATTGCTATCCAGCAAAGTTTTCATTTAGAATGCAAGGGCAGATAAAGTGCTTTCCAGATAAGGTTAAGTTAAAGGAGTTCATCATCACCAAGCCCTTCTATATGAAATGTTAAAGGGACTTATCTAAGAAAAAGAAGATAAAAAGTATGAACAATAAAATGACAACAAACTCACAACTATTAACAAATGAACTTAAAAGAAAAGAAAAACAATGAAAACAAAAACTAAGCAAACAACCAGAACAGAAACAGAATCAGAGAAATGGATATCACACAGAGGAAGGTCAGTGGGGAGGGGGAAGTGAGGGCGGTCGGGGAGAAACGGTACAGGGAAGAAGCATAATCAGTAGGCACAGAATAGATGGGGAGAGATAAAAATGGTATAGGAAACAGAGGACTCAAACAACTTATGTGTACAACCCATGGACATGAACTAAGGGGAGGAGGGAATGGTGGAGGGTTGGGGGTTAGGATAGACAGGAGACAGAGGATGAAAAATGGGAAAACTGTAATAACATAATCAATAAAAAACACTTTAAACAAATAAAAATATTTGTGTTTCAAATTCCAACAGAATGAGAGAGAAACACTGAAGATTCTCATCTCATTCCCCTAACCCCAACACCTAGTTCCTCTTGCCTCAACCAACCAAAGTTGTTAGTTTCTCCTGCAATTTTCTGTGGATATTTTACACATACAGGGTGGGTCAAAAGTAGGCGTCCAGTTGTCTGTGTGGAGAATAACACAATATAATAAGTAGTAATAGAAGAATAAATGCTGCATTTCAGGTACTCACAACCTATTTTGTAAACCTATTTTGCCCTACCCTGTGTAAAAGTAATGCAGGTACTTGTTCTTTGGTCTTCTTCTTCTCAAAGACTTGGTGCTGTGTTTTTTTCACTGTTGTGCAAATTGTGTTTTATTTATTACATCTAGGAAACTTTCTATTCTAGCCTACAAAGAGACACTTTATTACCTTTATTGCCACATACCGTTTTGTTCTGTGAATGCACCATAAATTATACATGAACCTCTCATAGTGGGGTTTTGATCATCTCCTAATAAATAATGTTGTAATTATCTACACACAATTCATTGTTCTCACATGATAACCTACAGCTTAGTCATGCCAAAATGTGCAAAGGAAAATAAACCCTGTGAATTCCAAGGATCGGTCTTGAGTGAGGACTCTCGTATACCTCAATTTTCCAGCATCTGAATGAATTAGCTCAGAACCCTAGAAAATTCTAACAATACCCCAAAATATCTAAAATTTACCTGGTTCCACCTCCATTCCTAATTTGTTTGTACCTCCACCACACAAACACACAAAAAAAACTAAAAATGGTGGAAGGGTCAATTCCCTAGGGCAGGAAAGCATGACTGAGATCTCTTTGCTGGGTCCTAGGAGGAGGATCCCGTCCTGGCTGTGATCACCCACATAGGGCTGAGCCTCTCTCTGCTGTGCCTCCTCCTGGCAGCCCTCACCTTCCTGCTGTGCAAAGCCATCCAGAACACCAGCACCTCCCTCCACTTGCAGCTCTGCATCTGCCTCTTCCTGGCCCACATGCTCTTCCTCACGGCCATTGACAGAACAGAGATTAAGGTACTGACATCCCCAAGGACCCTTGTCCTGCCCAGGAGATGTAGAGTTCATGTGGCCATGCTGCATTGGATGCCTTAATAAAATGTCCTTGGGTTCTGGGAAGGTTAGAGTTGTGAGTAGCCAATTTCACATTGACTGATGCAACGGGATGACAGATCCTCTCTCGACAATTCCTTCATAAACAGAGTTCTCTTTGAGGTATAGGACAGGTTCCAAGGCCATGCTCCACCCTGACAATCCCACCTGGTGACTCTGACTTCTCCCCCAGGTGCTGTGCGCCATCATCGCGGGTGCCTTACACTACCTCTACCTGGCCTCCTTCACCTGGATGCTGCTTGAGGGCCTGCACCTCTTCCTCACTGCACGCAACCTGATGGTGGTCAACTACTCCAGCGTGAGCAGATTCATGAAGAAGTTCATGTTCCTTGTGGGCTATGGAGTCCCGGCTGTCATTGTGGCCATTTCTGCAGCATCCAGGCCTCAACTTTATGGAGCATCTGCCCGGTAAATTAAAGTTCACACTGGTCTTATCTTCTCCACATGACCAAGGCCAGCAGAGAACCTATGTAGTACTTTACTTTCACTAGAATATGATAAACAGAGAAAAAGACAGTAATCACCCAAAGATATCTTCCTGGTTTCATGATTACATTCTGTGAAAGAAATGTTTTTAAGAACTTAAAATTTCATTGATTTAAATATTAATTATGTAGTATGTTAATTATATATTTATATAATGTTGATTGTATTATATTAAAAACTAACACTATCATAATAATGAACACTAACAATTATAAGTTAATATATTGATAAAATAAATGAGCTGGTATATATCTTTTAGATTTAATGATTTTAATCAATTATTTAAATCAATTCTATGTTAATGACTCTATTACATTAACAAACATGGTACATAATATTAATCCCTTCTTGTATATTAGTAAATGTATATTAATATAATATTCACTACATTTATGTTTCAAATCTTCTAGAAAGCAAACTGGAAATGAAGGAATGGCATTGGTTGGTGTAACTTCTCTCTTTAGTTTAAAAGAAAAAAGGATGATTTAGAAAATAAAATTGTGATGAGCAGAGCTAAGATTTAGAGATGGCTTCTGACATGCAATCATTGTTCTGAACAGTTTTCACGTACTCAAGTCTTCCTCCCAACAACCCACTGGGGCAGAAACCAGTGTTATACAAGTTTTGTGGATGAGGAAACTGGGGCACGGAGATGACTGACATGATCCAGATCACACAGCTGGTTGGTGGCAGAGCCAGGACCAAATCCAGACAGTGTGTCATTTACATATTCCTATGCTGATAAAATTAATGTTTGCTGACATCAGAGGAGCCCTGGCCAGCTGGCCCTTCTATATAATTTGCACCAAAGTCAGCAGATCTTATCTCCAAAAGCCACAGAGTAAATATTGCAGCTTTGTGTACCATGTGGTCTCTGTTGCAACTACTCACCCCTGTCCTTGTAGCACAAGAGCCACTGTAAACAATATGGAAAGGGAATGAGTGCAACTGTGTTCCAGTAAAACACATGTACAAAGTCAGGTGGTATCCCCATTGCCCCACAGGGTGCAGTGTACAAACACAGCCTCAGTAGTGTTTGCTTTGAGTCTCCTGGTGGGTCCATTTAACTCCATGGTCCTCACACCTCCCAATTCATTCACAAGCATATCACTTGGGATCATTTCCAGTTCTATCATTTCTATTACTGTGGCCTTGAGTTACTATGTTTTCTCAAGCATCATATGCCAACCTGTGATCACTTGAGTCTCAATGTTGTCATGAGGAATAAATTATATAATGCACATGAGACTGAATCACTACTATCAGTCTATTGTTATATTTTTATTGTCATTTGTCATGTCCCCAAATTTTCTTACCTACTTTACACCTTCTAATGGTTCACATATCAGAATGAGCACAATCAGTCCTCTCAGGGACCCTTCCCAACTACATGAACCTCCTATACCCCAGACTAGGCTATTGCTCCAGCTACCTGTTCTCATAGCTCCTCACACTTGATCACAAAACTCATCATCTTGATTGTTCCTAGTGTCTAATTGGTGACCTTCCCACCCAGTTGGGGCCTCCCTGAGGACTGAGACCAGTCTGTCTTAATTGCAACTGGTACTTCAGGTCAATCACAGGTGCTAATACAGAGGAGACACAGTATTTGTCAAATAAATTATCAATTAATTCATTGATATTCTTGATTTTTCATTTTAAAATGTATATACTTGTCTGTCAGTATATTTCAGGTCCAGGACTTAAAAAACCTTTTTGGAAGCAAAAACCTGATAAGTTTGAAGATATGTAAACAACCAGTACTATCACATACATCAAGGACACACCCAAAATATCAGTTATGAAAGATAAATAAGATAAAGAAATCTATACAACATGGTGCCTGTAATTAATAATACTGTACTATATACTTAAAATTTACTAAGAGGGTAGGTCTTAGCATAAATGTTCTTACCAAAAAAACAATATTAATATTAACATTAAAGGAGGCAGAAGAAAATGTGGGAGGTGAAGGATTTGTTAATTTATTCATTGTTTATCCACAAAGGCAACTATGTTCTTCAATCCCTTTCTATCTCTGTCCTAGATGCTGGCTCCACACACAACAGGGATTTGTATGGACTTTCCTTGGCCCCATCTGCATCATCATCTCTGTGAGTAAAGGATGGCATCAGAGTATCCCTTCTGCTCAGCTAAGGGTCAATCAAAGAGCAGGTGTAGAAAAGGGGTAACAGGCAGGATGAGCAAACATTCTGGTTTTCTCAGGACCAATAGGGCTTACAGAAGGCAAAATATCTGGTTTAAAACAATGATGCAAAGGTTTCCTGAGACATTGGACTTTTAGTGCTGAAATGTGGGAATTCCTCTGTAAACTGTGTAAACTGGAAGTTGGTTACTCCACTTACAGGACAAAAGGGACCAAGACTTACTGAATGGGTGGTCACTTTTTCTATGACTGCTATGAAATGTGAAAGCTTCTTACCTGTTGGGTTAGGTGTTCAATGAGCTAGGAAGAAGCTATACAAACGTGGCATGTATTCAATATGCCTTGTGGGGTTCCTGCAGATTAACTGGGCTTTCTTTCTGATGACCATCTGGATTGTGAAAAACAAGCTCTCCTCCCTCAACAAGGATGTGTCCACCCTCCAGAACACGAGGTGAGATGGGTCAGAGGGGCACACCGCCCCACACAAAGCAGGGTCCAGGAGCAAGGCCCTATAGTCCCAATTTCCTGGTGTTCTTTCACAGGGATTCTGAGGAGACAGGAGGAGAAAGGCAACCACCCTCCCTGGAAACCTGCTCAAATACTGTGCTTTTTCTGCTGAAATGCAAGCCAAAAATATTTCATTTCTTCATAAATCCAACATGAAATTACCTAGTTACAAAGATACTGACTTTGTTCTGTAAAATGTGGATTACTTCCATGGCCCTATGAAAATATCCAAAAAACATTTACATCTTTATAAAACTCGTAGGAAATCACCTACCTGTTCCCAGAACCCAGCACTCAACTTCATGCCCACACCTTCATGGAGCCTCTTTCCTCTGTCCTCTTCACTCCTACACCTGCTAAAATCAGGTTCTTTACGCACATACCACATCTTCTGAAAGGCTTGGGATGTCCTTTGCTTTCCCCAACTTTACACAGAATGAATGGTCTCTATTCTGAGCAAAACATACCTGGGGGTAGCTCATGAAGAGAGAGAAGACAGGACCAGTACTGGATGGGACCCAGGCAGAGGTACTTTACACATCACAAATATTATAAGTGGCCATTTCTTCTATGAAACTGCAAGGTCTGTGAAGACAGAAATTGTCTTTCATATTTTTAAACCCAAGACCCAGCACAGAGTCAGGTACATAGAACATCGTCAGTAATGTCAGTTGAATGAAGTTGGGGGCATTCATAATACATCATGATCATTTTGAAACCCATATTATGAATTATCACTACTTCAGTCCAAGTCAAAATACCATCACAGTTCCTAATTGCATTTTTTTAGAGAATCATTGAGAGTAAAAATCAAAGTGGGTCACAATTCAGTCACATGCATCCATGGGGTGGAGATGAGAGTGGCCTTTATTCTGTTGCTCTTGGTACACCATAAGCTGCCCTTCTCCTTCTACCCAGGATGCTGACATTTAAAGCAATGGCCCAGCTCTTCATCTTGGGCTGCACGTGGTGTCTGGGAGTCCTGCAGCTGGGCTCAGCTGCCCGTGCCATGGCCTATCTCTTCACCATCATCAACAGCCTGCAGGGCGTCTTCATCTTCCTGGTGTACTGTCTCCTCAGCCAGCAGGTACCACAGTCCAACTCTCACCCAGGACCCTTTCTATTCTCAGTCCTCTCAGTGAGCTGACTCAGAGCATGCTTTGCCTCTACAGGTCCAGGAGCAATACAGACAGTGGTTGAAAGGCATCAAGAAAACCAAAGCAGACTCTGGGAAGTACACCCTCTCCAGCATGGCCATGTCTGAAGCTTCCAAAGACAATGTGGTAGGTCTTGCATTGCTCCCAGAGCCCTTCACAAACTGATCCACTCAAGTAGCTCATGCCCATCATACTGGACAACCTGTGTGTATAGCAGGAGATGCCCTAGCACAGCTCCCACTACCCTCACTTTTGGGCTCACTCCAAGGCATCTTCTTGTCATGGATAGAGGTCTTCCCATACTTTCACTCACTGTGTTTCTGTGCTCATCTTAACCTTGCAGATGATTATCTTCTCAGTCCCCATGTGTGTAGAACACCCACTTTCTGTGACATAGTACATGTGGTTTTTAATCTTACAGAGTGAGCATATGACATAAAAACTTCCTCATAAGCAGAGAGAGAAGCTATGGTCAGCTCAACAAGCAGGAAACTAGTGATGTGAAGCTGTGATGCTCAAAGTGTACAGTCACAGCACCACCCTTTGTCCCAAGTCATTCCAGGCTCCTCTCTATATGAAGAACAACAAACACATGGTACATGTCATCACAACAGTCAGGGAAATAGGTGTTAGGTTGGATTTCAGACTTTCCATCAGATTCTGCTACCACTTCTCATGTTTTCAACATACATGAATAATGCAAAGCCAGGATGAAGAATTGCAGAGGGCTGAGGAGAGGTCCTGGCAATGGCAATGAACATTTGTACCTTCTGGTTAACAAAACCTTGTCTCATGCTTTCTTTCACATGTTCTTCACATCTGCACTTGGAGATAAGTACTACTATGTTCCCACTTGGTAGGTGAACAAAGTGGGACTCGCAGGATCTATATGAATTGTGCAAGGTTTTCAGACAATTTGTTTTTTTCTCCCAAATTTCATGGACCCACCACGGTGCCTGCCAAGCCTTATGCATTTTACTCATCCACTTGTTTGTCCAACATTCTACCACTGCTCTTTCCAAAATTCTTCACTCCTCAAAAAGCCTCAATCCTCTCCCTCCCCTTCCCAGCAAAAGTTTATACCAGTCTCTTTTATAGCAAATGAAGTCAGCAGGATGAAGCAAAGTCAACTTTGTGCTCTCAAAATACCAGGCACTCGACACCTGGTTCATTCCCTCCTCATGCAATCCTATTGCCACAGACAAAATGTGCTTCTGGATATTAAGGCTAATCTTTATTCCATTTTGGTTCCCTATATTCTTGATTTCCCTTACTTTACTTTACTTTACTTTACTTTACTGTTCATACATTCTCTCTCTGATCCTTGCACAGTCTCACCTTCTCAACAGCATCCTTTCCACCTTTATTGCAACATGGGAAATCTCTATCTTAATGCAAATTATTAAAGGTATACACTTAGTTCCTCCCTCTCCTTCATCACACAATCAAAACTGGCATTTGCCTCCACCATTCCTGCAAAACAGCTTTCTCTTAAGTCTGCAATGATCTTCATACCAATGGATAAAATAAATATTGTTTGTCCTCTTGTTTCTGGAGAAACCCTGATTCCTCTCACCAACACAATAAAAAATTACAGGTCAGTGAACCTATTAGCATGCACACAAAGTTTATTAGTGCTAAGTTCTAGTGGGAAAGCAAAAGCAAGGGTGGCAAAAGCACAGTATGCAGGGATTGGGTGACTGGCACCTGGGTGTCCAGAGGCCAGGTGTCCAGGGGGCAGGTGGCCAAAAAGGGTTGGGTCCTTTGTGCTTAAGACTTATATAGTTGGCAAGGTGGGTTTGAGGGAATTACATTTTAATTGGTGGGTAAAAGTGGTTCCAATTTTCTGTGACTGCTCACATGTAGATAGGGGTGGGGACCTGTTAGTCTGAATCCTTATCTTGCTCTGGACTCTATTTGTCCCTTTTGTACAAGACAGGAGGCAGACAGTTAACCAAAGTTGTTTTAGGGGCTTTGGGGGCACTGTAGTTCCCCTCCCCTTACCCCTTCTAAGACTTGGGATGAATACACGGTCTCAAGGTTTTCCTTTTCCCAGTTAGTGGAGATGATACACAGAGACTTTCAAGGGCTCCCCACTGTATTATCATAGTTTACTTGTGTTGTTCAGAATACCTGGCAGCTTTATCAGACCAGGCTCAGGATTACTGGGTTAATGGGTGAGACACATCTTCCTTTGCTTTTAGTCACCTGTGTTAAGTTCTTTGTTAGACTGCAACAGTAAGGACCCTGCCTTTATTTCCCCTCTGGCCACTGATTCCACTGTAACACTCAGTACTACTAGATGCTGTGGTTACTGCCTCCACCATGAAACTTCTCTTTTGTCCCTAGCTTCTATATCACATCCCTGGCATTCTCCCTTTCTGGATGAGCTTTCTTCATCTTCTTTAGATTCCATTTATTCTACCTAATTTTGTTTTAGTAGCACTTCCATTATCACCTTACAGCCTCCTTATAGACAATCTTGTCTACAAGGCAAGGCACTCAATGAGCCACACAGAAGGAAATGATGGCCAAATATATTTCTATAGCTCTGAGTGGTAACTACGTAGCTATGATCCCCAGACATACTCTTCCCAAATGCCTGCTTAACATTTCTATTTAGATATCTCAGAAGCATCCCAACATGGCAATAGAAGAATTTATCTTTTTTTTGTTTACCAACTTACTCCTCTTCAGGGTTTCTCATCTCTTTGAGTGGCATCTCCATTCATCACATTGTACCAGTCATGACCTGGAAAATCCTTACCATTATTCTCTTCCCTCCCCTGTTCTGCACCAAATTGGTTCATTGCTAAACCATGCTAGTATTTCCTTCTCAGCTGTCACAGATCTGCCTTGTTGACACCAACTCCAACATCTCCTTCCTAAACCCAGCTGTCATCCTCACTTGGCTGGTTTCCCCCATCTACTCTTCTCCTTCTTCCAGTAGTTGCTCACATAAAAGTCAGTTTTCTTCACAAAAGAAATATTTGATATACTACCATGCAGTATAAAAGTCCCTAAAGTGGTTCCCCAATTCTACTAGAAGCAAGATAAAATACATAAGGTTTCCAATTTCCTCCACATCCTTATCAAAACTTGCTGTAGTTAGCTGTTTTTTTTTTTAATCTTCACCTGAGGACATGCTTATTGATTTTACAGACAGGAGAAAGGAAGGAGAAAGAGAGGGAGAGAAATATCATTGTGAGGGAGAAACGGATCAGTTGCCTCTCTCATATATCTCAACCAGTGGTCAAACCCACAGCCTTTTGGCTTAGGGGACAACACTTCAATCAACTGAGCCACACCAGCCAGAGCTCATTTAGATTTTCATAGCTTAGTGCATGTAAAGTGCTTTTTCATTAGGCTTTTCATTTGTGTTTCCCTAATGTCTAGTCATGTTGAGCATCATTTCACATGGTTATTAGACCTGCATACCTTCTTTGGGGAAATATCTATTTAAAGTCTTTTGCTATTTTCATTTGAGTCATTTATCTTTATTGATAAGTTGTAAAAAGTCTACATCTATTCTGGACACAAATCCCTTGTCAGACATATGATTTTTAATTTTTTCTCTCATTTTGTTGATTTTTCATACCATTCATAGTGTACACTGATACACAAAAGTTTTTCAAATTGGTAAAGTCCAACTTATCTTTTTTTGTTTATTTGCACTGTGGGTATTATATTTAAACAACAACTGCTTAATACTTATAAAATTAATACATGTTTTCTTTCTAAACACCCAGAGTTTTCATTATTACATTTAGGTATATGATTTATTTTGAATTAATTTTTGAAAATTGTTTGAGGTTTTAATATGGTGTGAGGTGCATTCTTTTTAAAAAAGGTTTTATTTATCTATTTTTAGAGAGAGGGGAAGGGGGAGAGAAAAAGAAGGAGAGAAACATCAATGTCTGGTCACCTCTCACATGCCCCCTACTGGGGACCTGACCTGCAACCCAGGCATGTGTCCTAGACTGGGAATGGGACTGGCAACCCTTTGGTTCCCAGGCCTGCACTCAATCCACTGAGCTATGGCAGCCAGGGCTTAATTGTCTTCTTCTAAAATATATTTTATTAATTATGGTATTACAGTTGTCCCATTTCCCCTCTTCATTTCCCTCCACCCTGCACACCCTCTCCCACCCACATCCCCCCCCTTTAGTTCATGTCCATATGACATAAGTTCTTTAGCTTCTACATTTCCCATACTATTCTTGCCTTCCCACTGTCTAATTTTTACCTACCATCTATACTACTTATTCTCTGTACCTTTCCCCTCTCTCCTCCTCCCACTCCCCTGTTGCTAACCCTCCATGAGATCTCCATTTCTGTGGTTCTGTTCCTGTTCTAGTTGTTTTTCTTTTTGTTTTAGGTGTGGTTGTTAATAATTGTGAGTTTGCTGTAATTTTACTATATGTATTTTTTATCTTCTTTTTCTTAGATAAGTCCCTTTAACATTTCATATAATAAGGGCTTGGTGATGATGAACTCCTTTAACTTGACCTTATCTGAGAAGCACTTTATCTGCCCTTTCATTCTAAATGAAAGCTTTGCTGGATAGAGTAATCTTGGATGTAGGTCCTTGCCTTTCATGACTTGGAATATTTCTTTCCACCCCCTTCTTGCCTGTAAGGTTTCTTTTGAGAAATCAGCTGACAGTCTTATGGGAACTCCTTTGTAGGTAACTGACTCCTTTTCTCTTGCTGATTCTAGGATTCTCTCCTTCAGTTTAATTTTGTCTAATGTAATTATGATGTGCCTTGGTGTGTTCCTTCTTGGGTCCAACTTCTTTTGGACTCTCTGAGCTTTCTGGACTTCCTTGAAGTCTATTTCCTTTGCCAGATTGGGGAAGTTCTCTTTTATTATTTGTTCAAATAAGTTTTCCACTTGTTGCTCTTCCTCTTCTTCTTCTGGTACCCCTATAATTCAGATGTGAGAACATTTCAAGATGTCCTGGAGGTTCCTAAGCCTCTCCTCATTTTTTTTAATTCTTGTTTCTTCATTCTTTTCTGTTTGATTGTTTCTTTCTTCCTTCTGGTCCACTCCATTGATCTGAGTCCCAGTTTTCTTCCCATCACTGTTGGTTCCCTGTGCATTTTCCTTCATTTCACTTAGCATAGTCTTCATTTTTTCATCTAATTTGAGACCAAAGTCAACCAATTCTGTGAGCATCCTGATCACCAGTGCTTTGAACTGTGCATCTGATAGGTTGGCTATCTCTTAGTCACTTAATTGTATTTGCTGTGGAGCTTTGATCTGTTCTTCCATTTGGGCCTTTTTTTTGGGGGGGGCGGGTCTTGTCGTGCCTGTTACGTATGAGGGGCAGAGTCTTAGGTGTACACCATGGCAGGGCAACCCAGTCGCTGGGTTGTGATGCTGTATGTGGGGGCAGGGTCCAAGATGGAACAATGGCGCTTGCTCTGCTCTCTGTCAGATTTCAGTCCCTCCCACTGCTTCCCCCAAGCAAACTGGGCCTTTCTGGTGCTAATTCCCATGTGGGTGGGCTTGTGAACATTCTAGGACCCTGTGGGTCTCTCCAACGAATTCTCCTGTGAGGCTGGGAGTCTCTCCCTGCACCTCAACTCCCACAGGTGTTTTCAATCAGTGTCCTGAGGCTCTATTTCTCAGTGCTGGAACCCTGGGTTGCTCAGTCTGCCTTGCTTCCCAATTTTGCCTGGTTTAGCTGCACGCGTATGTGGGACTGCCCAGTCAGCCAGCTGCCTTGAGTGTAGTGCTTTGCTTCACAATTGCCACCTCCCTGGGCCTTCCCATTGCCACTCCATGCCCGGGGTCTGTCAGCCACTGCCTGCATGCCCAGGGTCTGCCTGCTGTGGTCTTGTGAACCCGGGATGCCTTACGTGCCCGGTGCCACCGCTTTTTGTACTGACACCCCTCTCTGCCCAGCTGCCCAACTACGCCCTTCCTACCAGATCTGGATGAATGTGTTTATTTTAACTCCTTGATTTTTGGACTTCCATACAGTTCAATTTTCTATCAGTTCTGGTTGTTATTTTGTTTCTAAATTGTTGTTTTCTTTATTTTGGTTTTGTGAGGAAGGACAGTATGTCTACCTATGCCTCCATCTTGGCCAGAAGTCTTAATTGTCTCTTTTTATTGTTGTTCAAGCACAGTTGACTGCACTTCCCCCTCAATCACCCTCCCCCACCCTTCCCATCCCTACCTCCCACCCACAATCCTACCCACCTTTGGCTTTTCCCATGGATCCTTTATACTTATTCCTTGATGATCCTTTCTCTTCTTTTTCCTTTACCTTTGGATATCCAGATGTCCTATCATCATTTATTGAAAAACTGTTCTTACCATCAATGAATTCTACTGGCATCTTTATGAAAACTAATTCATCATAAATACAAGGTTTTATTTTTGTACATTTAACTCTTCCATCATATCTTGATTACTGTACTTTGTACGAAGTTTGAAATTGGGGCATCCACTCTACAAATTTGTTCTTCTTTTGCAAGATTGTTTCTGCTATTCTAGACCCTTTGAAGTCCTATATAAATTTTAAGTGGTGTTTGTCAATTTCTGAGGAAAATTTAACTGAAATATTGATAAGGATTATGTTGACTCTGTAGATCACTGTGGAGGTATTGTCAGTGTAACTATATTAAATCCTCTGATCCCTAAAAATGCAATATTTTCCCATTTCTTTAGTTTCTTTTATGTCTTTTGACAATGTTTTCTACTTTTCATTGTACAAGTCTTGTACTTTTTAACACCATGTCATTTTTACTCCTTCCTTCTCAGGAGAATAAATTTAACAACTAAACCAGATGATCCTGTCTCTTGGAAAATGAAGAAAACACTGAACCATCAACCTTTGGGCAAAGAGTATAGAAAATACTTTTGTGTCTGTTACAAGTCACTGATCCTGGCACCATTGTGGGAGAGAGCATGCATGAAATGTTTGACATTCAATTGCTACAGAATTGGGGTTTTGGATCCACACCACATGCTCAGCTCACTCCCAGAACAGTCAGGGAGCTATGACCCAGATCTTTGGTTGTCTTGGGCTAAGCTCTGCACTTCAACCTGTTTTTCTACAAAAATGTCCCTCAGGCATAACAAGGAAAACCATCCTCAAACATCTTTCTTATAACAGCAAAAAAAAGGAAACTAATGCTCAGTCAAATATCTGTATTTGGTCTCCATACCTACATGCCCTGACTTTTTCACTCTTCATGTCTAGAGACTTACTGATTTTTCACTCAAAAAGTAGTTTTCTTATTCACCATTTGCTTCACAGAGATCTCAGTTCCTGATTTCACAGAGCTTATATGTAAAAAAAAAGTTAGAGTAAAATCAATAGAGTCCATATATCCTTACATTTTACAAATGGAGCTCTGGAAAAGGTGTATATTCCTACAGCACATCATGTAAGATGTATTTATACATATCATTTCATCCAAAGCATGTGATCTAGGCAAGATCTACTTCCAGAGCAATTACACCTGAAAGAAATTTCCTGTGGGTTTCCACAGAACACATTTGCATAATTTGAACACCACAGAAAATGACTGTAAATGGTTATGACATTAAAAACATTCATGAGTCCATAGTGATACCTAAAACTATCAGCCAATAATTGTAAAAGACAAGATAGAAGTAGAAATTCATGATTTTTCAATACTGAGTAAATGGCACTAAATACAATGAGAAAAGCTATCGGAGAACAGACTAGTCCACACTGCCAAAACAACCACCTCACAGATTACTGATTACAAGGGCCAAAGTGCACATTTACTATAAGAAGATCTGAACTTAGTGATCAGCTTTATATTGTCAATAATGGGAAACCTGACTTTATGGATCTCCTGATAAGATGTGAAGTTCCAACATCCCATGGGTTGTAAATAATGAATTATGTGCAAATCAGTCTACCCTAAGTCTAACCCAGCCTTTAGATCGAGGGTTGGAAAACTATAACATGCAGGCTAAATCTGGGCATCTGCCTGCTTTTGTAAATAAAGTTTTATTGGAACACATCAAAGTCATTCACTGCTGGGTCATTTATGTTTCCTTTCATACTACATTGTCAGAGCTGAGTAGTTGTGAAAGACACTGCAAGGCCAAAAAAACAAAAAAATATTTACTAACTAGCCCATTATAGAAAAAGCTTGCTGGGATCTGTTCTTTCAGACCTAATTATCAGTGTACATGGAATATAGGGAACAGAATAAGAAGTTAGCTGACATCATGAGGAAGCAATCAGGCAAATCAAGAATATAGAGCACTCAACAAGCCAGGTCATCTTGACACTTCTAAAGTCAGTATCATTTTTAAAAATAGTTACTATTACTTGAAAAAGTGATTACTGGCTATTCTATAAAAGGAGGTAAAAGCAATATAACAATCCAATTCAATGTCAATTATATTGAGATTCTAATTTAGAGACACAACCATAAAAATATTTTGAAGGCAACTGGGAAATCATCTACATGTATCAGATATTACAATTATTATTAATAAATGTCTAATCACTATGGTGTAAACCTGAAACTAATAAATATTGTATATCAACTATATTTTAAAATAATTTTGGGGGTGTAATAATAGTTTCACAGGAGAATTTTACAAATCACTTAAGGAAGCTCTAACCCCTATCCTTCTCAGACTATTAAAAAAAATCCAAGAAGAAGGAAGACTCCCAAATGGTTTTTTTGAAGCCGGCATCATCCTAATCCCAAAACCAGATAAAGACACAACACAGAAAGGAAACTATAGGCTGATGTCACAGATGAAAATAGATGCTAAAATCCTCAACAAAATATTGGCAAACCACATCCAGCAATCCATTAAAAAGATCATACAGGATGATGATCTTTTTAGTTCCAGCCAAGATGAGGGCATAAGTAGAAACACTTTGCCCCCCCACACAACCAAGAGAAGGATAAGAACCAATTCAAAAACAATAAACAACCAGGACTGCCAGAATAGCAAACCACATTGAATTCTGACAACGAAGGAGTTAAAGAAACATTCATCCAGACCAGTAGGAGGGGACAGAGACAGGCAGTCAGGCAGGCAGAGAGGACCCTCAACAAGTTGGTTGAACTTGAGGGTGAGGAAGTGCTGGCTCACCAGGAAACTAAAGACTCAAAACCTCTAGCAGAAAAATACTGTGAGCATTGAGAAAACAGGAGAAGCTCCCAGTCTCATAAGAGAGTTCATTGGAAAGTAGGGCTAGAGCAGAGCAAGCAAGTGGTTTTGTTCTCTGTCTGACTCCTCCCCCACAGACAGTACCACAACACACCAGCCAAGGATTGTCCTGCCCTGGCAAATACCTAAGGCTCTGCCCAAAGAAATATGGAGACAAAGAAATATGGCACAAATGAAAGAACAGATCAAAACTCCAGCAAAAGAGCTAAGCAATGAGGAGATAGACAACCTATCTGATGCAGAGTTCAAAACACTGGTAATCAGGATGCTCACAGAAATGATTGAACTCAGTCACAAAATAAAGGAAGAAATGGGTACACAAAGTGCAATAAAACAAAATATAGAGAGAACCAACAGTGAAGGAAAGAAATCAGGACTCAAATCAATGATTTGGAACAAAAGGAAGAAATGAATAAATAAAAAAGAACAAAATGAAAAAAAGAAGAATTCAAAAAAATAAGGAGAGGCTTAGGAAACTCTGGAACAACTTTAAACATTTCCAACACCCGAATCATAGTGGTGCCAGAAGGAAAAGGACAACAGCAAGAAATTGAAAACTTATTTGAACAAATAATGAATGAAAACTCCCCCAATCTGGTGAAGGAAATAGACATACAGGAAGTCTAGGAAGCTCAGAGAGTCTGAAAGAAACTGTGCCCAAGGAGGAACACATCAAAGCACATTATAATTAGGTTACCCAAGATTAAAGACAAACAGAGAGTCTTAAAAGTAGCAAGAAGAAAGGAGACAGTTACCTGCAAAGGAGTGCCCATAAGACTATCAGCTGATTTCTCAAAAGAAACCTTACAGGCAAGAAGGGGCTGGAAAAAAGTATTTGAAGTCATGATAGGCAAGGACTTATATCCAAGCTTACTCTATCCAGCAAAGCTTTCATTTAGAATGGGTGGACAGATAAAGTACTTCCCAGATAAGGTCAAGTTAAAGGAGTTCATCATCACCATGCCCTTATTATATGAAATGTTAAAGGGACTTATATAAGAAATACAAGAAAAAAACTATGAACAGAGAAATGACAACAAACTAATAACTGTCAGTAATCAAACCTAAAAAACAAAAACAAGGACTAAGCAAACAACTAGAACAGGAACAGAATCACAGAAATGAAGATCACATGGAGGGTTATCAATGGGGGGGGAGGGTGGGGGGAGAAAGGTACAGAGTATAGGAAACATAATTGGTAGGCATAAAATAGGGGTAGATTAAGAATAGTATAGGAAATAGAGAAGCCAAAAAACTTATATGTACAACTCATGGACATGAACTAAGGGGGGGGGCCAAGGTGGAGGGTAAAGGGGGTAAAAGGAGAGAAAACAATTGGGACAATTGTAACACCATAATCAATAAAATATACTAAAAAACTTATACACCATGATCAAGTGGGATTCATCCCAGGGATGCAAGGATGGTACAATATACTCAAATCAATAAATGTAATACATCACATGAACAAAAGGAAAGACAAAAATCACATGATCGCATCAATAAATGCAGAAAAAGCATTTGTAAAAGCAACAACATCTTTGCTAATATTTCTCCTAAGGAAAAGGATGTAAAAGAAAGAATAAACAAATGGGGCTGCATCAAATTAAAAAGCTTCTGAATGGCTAAAGAAAACATCAACAAAATGAAAAGGTAACCAACCATATGGGAAAATATATTTGCCAACAATGCCTCAGACAAGAGTGTGATCTCCACAATATATAAAGAACTCACATGACTCCACTCCAGGAAGACAATCCAATTAAAAAATGGGCAAAGGACCTGAACAGACACTTCTCCAAGGAGGACATACAGAGGGCTCAGAGGCCTATGAAAGGGTGCTCAGCATACTAGCCAACAGACGGATGCAAATTAAAACCACAGTGAGATACTGCTTCATACAGGTCAGAATGGCCATCATAAAAATATCAACAAACAACAAGTGCTGGTGGGGTTGTGGAGAGAAGAGAACCCTAGAACACTGTTGGTGGGAATGCAGAATGGTGCAGCCACTGTGGAAAACAGTATGGAGTTTCCTCAGAAAACTGAAAGTGGAACTGCCTTTTGACCCAGCAATTCTACTGCTGGGATTAATTATATCTTAAGAACCCTGAGACACCAATCCAAAAGAACCCGTGCACCCCAATGTTCATAGCAGCACAATTTACAATAGCCAAGTGCTGGAAGCAAACTAAGTGCCCATCAGCAAATGAGTGGATCAAAAACTATGGTACATTTACACAATGGAACACTAAGCAGAGAGAAAGAAGGAGCTTATACCCGTTGCAATGGCATAGATGGAACTGGAGAGCATTATGCTAAGCGAAATAAGCCAGGAGGTAAAGGACAACTACCATATGATCTCACCTTTAACTAGAACCTAATCAACAAAAGAAAAAAGCAATCAATATATAACCAGAGACATTGAAATTAAGAACAAATGGACAGTAACCAGAGGGGAGGTGGGAAAGGATAATGGGGGGGAAGGGGAAGTGTTTTAAGGAACCATTATAAAAAACACATGGACAAAATCAAGGGGGGTGGAACCAGGGGAAGGAGGTGGGGATGGCTGGGGTGGGGGAGTGGTGGGGAGAAAATGCAGACAATTGTACTTGAACAACAATAAAAAATAATAGTATCATAGTTATGTAGAGAATATTCTTTAAATTCTTCAATATTTGATAAGTAAATATCAAAGTATCAAGGGTCACGACATCTGCCATTATCAAATGTTTTAGCAAGAACTTGTATATGTGTGTACACACATTAAGAAAGAATTTTAGTGTAACACTTGTAATTGTTGACTCTAGGTGAACAGTATATATGCATTTATTGAATCAGTCCAAATTCCCTTTAATTGGATCTTTGTAAATACAAGGTAACTAAGAGCAAATAAATATATTAATTAGTTATTAATTTATTAATATAAACTTTCCTAGATGTGCAGAAAATGTCTTTTCCTTTGTACAAAATTAATTTTATGACCAGATAACTTATGAAACTATAAATTTGCTTGTCTTTATGGTGATGGATTTAAAATATAAAAGTTAACTATACCTGGCTAGTGTGGCTGAGTGGATTGAGCATGAGCTTGAGAACCAAGGGGTCACCTGTTAGATTCACAGTCAGGGCACATGTCTAGGTTGCAGGCCAGTTGTCCAGTTGTGAGGCAACCACACATTGATGTTTCTTTCTCTCTCTCTTTAAAAATAACTAAAATCAAATCTAAAAGTTAACTATAAAACCAAATTATTAAAATATTAGGAAAAAGAGAGATCTGAACTGCTCTGCTTAGCAAACAGAAAATGGAAATGACTATTGCTCCCAACCTAACAATAAGAAAAATCTGGAGAAGATGGCAGTGAGATAGGTGGGAATGGAGTCCACTTCCCACTGCACATGGGTGAAACCCCTAGCCGATCTTCTGAGGACCAAACAGCCAACAGTACCCCAGCATATATGAAGATTGGAGACCAAAAGTTGTAGAGGGCATAGAAAAATCAGATGGCAAGGAGAGTGCTTCAGGACAATAAGGTTCCTGGATCCAGTGCGGGGACCAAGGAGGCAGCAGCCCCAGGCCTGGTGCCCACTGGGTCTGCTGCAGAGATCCTGTAAGAGAGCTGGGTCAATGGCTCCCTTCCCTGCCAAACAAGTTTTGAGCATCACCAGGAGAGACCTGGTAGCTTGAAGTTGCAGGGAGGGGAATAGGGACCAAATGGCAAACACACAGGGGCTGTGAGCACCCACCGAGACTGTGTGCCTGGCTGGGGAGAGTTGAGAGTTGGGCTGTGATGGGCCCTGGCCTGGATAGTCCTTGGTGTGGTTA